TGTGTGTGTGTGTGTGTGTGTGTGTGTGTGTGTGTGTGTGTGTGGTGCCAGTCTCTGGACTATGTGGATTTGGTTATGTGTGTTTGTGTCTCTGTGTTGTATGTACATTGCTTTTCTCTGCACTGGTTGTGTTATGTTGTGCGTCTGTGTTTTGTGACTGCATGTGTCTTGGACTGTGTTTGTGGATGTTGTATACAGTGCGTGACTCCGGCTAGGTGTGTGTGCTTGTGTTGTTCACAATAAATGTCTCTGGCTGAGTTTTTTGTGTAGATCTCCATAGTGTACATTGTGTCTTTGTGTGTGTGCCACAGACATTGCCTATCTCTTGGTTGGTTTAGGTCTGCATGCATTGACTGTCTCAGGGTTGTGTCTGTGGGGTGGGTTGTCTCTGTGATGTGTGTGTGTGTGTGTGTGTGTGTGTGTGTTCAGCATATAGCATGCCCCTGATACATTATGGGCCCGTAGCCGTGGGTTTTTGGTCAGGCCTGGGAGTCATTTTTATTGTGAATCTATTTTGAGATCTTTGGCATTTTCCAAAAAAAACCCCCCAAACCCTCAAACCTATGTCTTGGCCAACAAGTTTACTGCCTCTGAAAGCTCCCCTCCCCAAGCCACAGGCTGCTTTCTTCCCAGCACACTCAGATAAACTCGGGGTGACCTGGCTCCTGGAAGCACGCTGTCTTCCAGGGGGTCAATTTTCCAGTTTCTTGGTTTTCTTTATTTTTTTTCCTCCTCCTGGCCCAGTTAAAACCAGAAATCCAATTCTCCTGAAAGCCTCTGTCTTGCCCCAGGAGTTGGTTGCTGGTTAGGGCACAAGCCCTTGGTGTGGTGGATGAAGCTGGGTTTAGAAATACTTTTGGCGATGGGGAGCAGGGGGGAGCCGGATAATCTGCTGATCTGTCCTGGGAACCAGCTTGGGAAAAGCTGGCGTTCAAGGCTGGGGGCAGAATTCACTTCTCCCTGGCCTACTTTTTCCCCTTATGGAGCCTGGAGTTGGAAGCTTTTAAAAACCCAAACACTTAATTACCTCCCAGAGAAAGTGTCAATCCAGGGAGCTTAGGGGGGAGGAAGAAGAGAGGAATGGAGAGATGGAGAGATAAAGACACCCAGAGAGAAAGGCAGAGGCAGAGACAGAGAGATGGGGGAGAGAGGGATGCTGAGCAAGCACCTACTATGTGCTGGGCTCTATGCTAGGCATTTACAAACATTATCTCCTTTGATCCTCACAACAACCTTATGAGGCAGGCACCTTAATTATCTCCATTTTACAGCTGGAGACACTGAGGCAAACAGAGGTCCTCTGACTTGCCCAGGGTAACATGGCTAAGTGTCTGAAGCTAGATTTGAAACCAGGTCTTCTTGATTCTAGACCTAGCAAGGGGAGGGGGGAGAGAGAGAGAAAGAGAGAGAGAGAGAGAGAGAGAGAGAGAGAGAGAGAGAGACAGAGAGAGACAGAGAGAGACATAGAGAGAGAGACAGAGAGAGACAGAGAGAGAGAGACAGAGACAGAGAGAGAGACAGAGAGACAGAGAGAAAGACAGAGAGAGAGAGACAGAGAGACAGAGAGAGAGATGGAGGGAGGGAGAGAGACAGAGAGAGAGAAAAAGGGAGGGAGAGACAGAGAGAGAGAGGAAGAGAGAGACAGAGAGGGAGAGACAGAGAGGGAGGAAGGGAGAGAGACATAGAGAGAGAGAGGGAGGGAGGGAGAGAGAGAGAAAGAGAGAGACACACAGCGAGAGAGACAGAGACAGAGACAGAGAGGGAGGGAGAGAGAGAGGGAGGGAGGGAAGGAGGAAGAGAGACAGAGAGAGAATGTGTTTAAGGAGTGCTTCATTCTTAGGGGTTCAGAATAAAGAAGAGATAGTTACCACCGTGAGGGAACTCCCATTTGGATGGGGCGATAAATTTGTAATCAATAGAATTATCAAAGTCCTTAGAGAGGAAGGGTCAGAGGGAATGGGTGTGCCCAAATCACTCACCTGCTTAAACCTTCACTGGCTTCCTATGGCCTCTGGGATCAAAAGCAAATTCTTGAGCCTGGTGTTTCAGGCCCTTGAAATCAACTAATGAATCAATCAATGAACAAACATTTATGATGTGCCTACTGTGTGCCAGACAATCACAGGAATGTTGTAGCACAGTGTAAAGAACCCTGGCCTGGGCAAGAATCTTAGCTTGTGTTTGCCTCAATTTCCTCATCTGTAAAATGGGCACACTGATGGCAGTGTTGTTGCGAGGCTCAAATGTAACCAAAGCCCTATATAAATGCGCCCTGTTATTTTCATTTGAGTAGCCGGTGGAGTGGGCAACTTGGGAGACCCTCCCTCCCTCTGCCCATTCCCCGGGGCTAAAGACTTTTCTGGGACCTCATTCTAGGGATCGCCTCACTCATAATGACATCGTGGGCACCGCTCACCTGTGTATGTCGAAAGTATCGGCAAGTGGAGGAGAAATAGAAGGTGAGTCCTCTCCTTCTCTCTTCCCTCCGTCCCTTCTTCCTTCTTCTCTGCCCCCGGTGCTGGGTGGGGCTGAGAGCTGGGATATTTCTGTGTCCCTGGCTGCGAGGGAGACTGCTTCCTAGTGAGCTCTCAGGTGCCTTGCCCCCACCAGCCTCACTTCTGGTTTGAGAGGTTTCAGAAAACCTCATCTGGCTGGACATCCCCAGGCACCCAGCAAACATTCATTGAGTGCCTACTGTGTACCACTTACTGTGCTAGGAGCCGGGAGGTGTTGGAAGACCTGGGTCCAAAATCCTGTCTCTGATGCTTATTACTTGTGTGACCTTGGGCAAGTCACTTACTTACTCTCCCTGGGGCCTCAGTTTCCTCAACCGTAAAATGGGAGGTCCCTTTTAGCCCTAGAACTATGATCTCTACACTTCCCTGCTATGATCTGTCTCAGACAATGATCTCCCCATGAGAGGGGGCAGCCTAGAAATGCAGACAACTCTCTATTACCTGTTTAAATGAGATCCAGGGGCTCTGCGTGGTTTCCAGGACTGCAGATAACCCCACGCTTGGTGTGACCTGCATCGCCGTCCCTGTTGGTGGCCAAGGACGGTGTGAGAAGGTTGGCTGAGATGACGCTCCTCCAGCTGGCAGCATTTCTTTAATTTCCCATGTGTTGCACCTGTGGTGGGTGTGTTTTTGCCGCTAGATGGTGTGTGTGTCCAGGGTCTCTGGGAGCATCAGCATCTCTGTCAGCTGAGAAACCAGGCTCAGCCAGCCCCTTCAGAAGTGAGCAAATCAAAGCCCCCAGCTCCCTTCTCTCCCCGCTTCAGCTCCTACAGGAGGGACCTTCGTAGGTAGTAAATGAGCCACCCCCAGAGGTAGCCGGGAGCTCTGGAAGTGGAGTACTTGGACAAAAGTGTCCTGTGAGTGTTATCAGGGGGTTTTGGGTCCTGGGCTCCCAACCCAAGCAAGGAGTGTGCTCTTGTGTCTTCTCAGAGACCCTTTGTCAGGCCCTTCTGGTTGGATTTCTGCTTTGCAGGGCTGTTGCTCCTGACTAGGACGGGACCCAGGTTCATACATCACCTCTGCTCACCTCAGACCTTCGCCTCTGGGTTGATCTCAGAGTTCCCACGTAGATCACTCTGATCCTAACCTTTTCTGAAGCTCCTAGGAAGGAAGGTTTTGGTTTTTAATCATCAGTCGTCGTTTTCCAAACTGGGCTGTGATCACCCATTCTGAGAGTCAGACTACCATTTTCCTAAAAAATCAATACCAGGGCAGTGGGGGCTGGGGGTCATCCCCTGTGGAGCAGTCTGCCATTCCTCCTCTAGTGGGGATAATAACAGCACCTACTTAATAGGGTTTTTGTGAGAATCAAATTAGAGAACAGATATAGTATTTTACTATAGTAAGTATATACCATATAGTACATTATATATAGTATTACAGTATATTAAGGTACATTATTATTATTATTGTTATAGTCTGTTTGGCCCCATTCTAGAGGCTTTTGGGACCGTCTCTTAAATTTTTACTCCCCAGACGTCTGGTTGCTAAGGCTCGTTTGGGTCCACCCACCTCTAACCGCAGTTCTTAAGACAATAGATTGCTTTTCTTAGATGCCACCGCTGCTCCTTTGAAAGATTGAGTTGAAAGATTAATTGGTTTTCCGGAAAGTCACTCTGATGTTTTAATGACCTGCACATAAGTAAACAAAGCCAGTTCATCTAGAACCACGCATGCTAAATTAACCAGAGGAAATCCAGTTTTCTCCCCATGTGGATAATTCAGACTTCATTTCTGTTTGACCTTCCCCGGTGTTGGTATTATATGAATTCCCCCCCCCCCCACCCCCAGTTCTTTATTCTGTCTGGCTCAGGGTAATGGCCTAATGAGTCTGAATTCCCTGCTGGCAGGGAGAGGGCAAACTAGGGAGAGGGAGAGTGCAGGATGTAATTAGTCATCGCTGGGAGTTTGTCTCCTGGGCGGTTAATCCGCAGAGAGAAGATGGGTGGATGGGTGGCATTTTCTTTGGGAAATTGCCCTGTTTTATGCTGAGGTAAGTCCTGATGGGGTCTTGGAGGTGCGGGTGGGGGACACTCAGGGAGTCCCTCGCCATCATCCCCTTACACTCGGCTCTCCGTGGGGGACAGAAGTTGTTTGTCCTTTGTTCTAGAGGGGATGGTTTAAGCCTGGAGGAGTTCTCAGGTCAGAGGACTGGGAGGCAGGCGTCTCACCGCCCTGGGTAGACCTGGGTCTGGGGATCTTGCGTCCTCTTTGTAAGCTGTGTTTTCTCTTGTACTTTGGGAGGGAGACTGGGACTGATTAGAGCTTTTTATAGGGTGTGATCTGCTAGCTGCCCTGTCCTGGCACTTTATGGGGAAGTGAGGGGGAAGGGGAGGGAAGGGAGGCAATGGGCCGCACAAGTGGGGGCTGGAGTTGGGGCAGGGGATGCTTCTCAGATGTTGCTTGGAAAAAGAGAGACTTGAAGATCCCCGAAGCGCTCGGCTTCGGTAGACCCCATCTCAGCGGTCACAACATAAAACGGGAACGTGGCATCTCTGGCCTCCTCCCCCACCCCACTTCCCTCCGTGATTGCGTCCTGAGCAGCGGAGGATGGGGCTGCAGCGAGTCTGTGCAACAGAAAGAGACGGCGGCTGAGGGGTCAGTGTCGGGCCTGAGTCTGCACGGTGGCCAGGCTTCGGGGGGAGTCCGTGGCGAGGCAACAGCATTTCTCTGGGTGAGAGGCCAGCTCCTCCAGATGGCATTCAGTCCTGCGACCTTGGCCTCATTAGCACCGAGTTCTAACCACTGAGCGGCCTGGCCCGGTCTGTTTGTAATAATCCAGCAGGAGCTTAAGGCTGAATCTGTTTCCTTCTCACTAACAATCGCCGATGCTTTCCTCGGAGCTGCGGCAGCTCCTACTCCCTCCCCGTCCTCCCAACGCCCCCTCTGCCTCGTTATTGCCGAGAATTGTTCTTGCTCGGGGGCCAGCTCTCCCCACCAGGTTCGCACGTTTCTGGGGGATATGAAAAAGCTATGAGTTATTATTCCCGTGCGTTCAGCTGTCACAACCTGAATTCCTGGGTGCAGGGCCCCTCTCCCCAGAGCACATGGCCTGAGCACATCTAGAGATGTGGCATCTCGCCCCTCCACCCTGGCCCTCTTTGCTATTTCTTATTCCATTTCCCTCTAGCTGTTTGACATGCTTACCCTCCCTCCCTCCCTTCCTTCCTTCCTTCCTTCTTTTTTCTTCCTCCCTCCCTCCCTCCCTTCCTTCCTTCTTTTTCCTCCCTCCCTCCCTCCCTTCCTTCCTTCTTTCCTTCCTTCCTCCCTCCCTCTTTTCCTTCCTTCCTTCCTTCCTTCCTTCCTTCCTTCCTTCTTTTTTCTCCCTCCTTTCC